ACCCCACAGGAGCCCACCCCTCTGCCCTCCGGCTGCCCAAGAGCCCCTGTCCCAGCCAGGCACACACGGCCCTGTCCAGGCTTGCCAGGCACCCAGCCTGCTTGCCCGCCTCAGGCGAGGCCATGCCCCAGACACTCTGTGCAGCGCTGGCCACCCGGTCTCGTCCATCGCCACCTGAGCAAGCAGTGCCCGGTCCCTCCCGAGGCCGTTCCGCTTCCTCAGGTGAACCGAGGCAGACCCTTCCTGACACCTCGTCGCTGAAGCATTTCTGTGCAGCTCAATTAGCTGCTCAGTCCCAGGTCTCAGGAACGTGTCTTGCAAGTTTCACCCCCAAATGATCTTCAGACGCTGGTGCTAGGCAGCTGAACTTGCAGAAGGAGCTCTGTGCCAATCTCTATTCATTGTGCCACTGCCAGGACCTGGGGCTCCCAACGGACCCAACCCACCTTACAAATCAGGTGCAATTCTTTTGGGGCCAAAGATGAATGCATAGCTGGCCTGCATATCTGGAATTGTGTCTTGCATTATCTAGTAATGATGGCAGTGGACTAAAAGCAGGACTTCTGGGTTCTCCTGCTCACTCTGCTGCTGGGCTCTGAGATACTTTAAGGAGTGTTGCCGGGTGGTATTCTTCATCAGCGGTGCAGTCAACCCATGCGTTGTGTGTTATGCAGTGGTCGTAACAGGGTTCCAAATGCAATATCCTCCAAGTCACATCCATCTCGCTCCAGTGATGGCGATGGCACAACCTCTGTGCTTTCAGTGGAATTATACCAGCATAAAATTGGAATAACCCAGTGAAGTTTGGTCTTTAATGTCTTGTAGCCTTCTTGGCAAAATGTGAAAGCTCATTTTACAGTATTTTAACCTACTAGAGCTTTAGAGGCTATTCTAATGCTAAAAACAATCTTTCTTCTGAATGACCTGTATTGCCCAGTGTATTTTAAAGTACAGGAAAATGTCATGCATATTTATAAACAGAATTGCCAGCCATTCTTGTTTACCCGTCTAAGTAATATCAGCCCTACCTTTCAGTTGAATGCTGGTGCTTTATAGAAAGGGGAATTCCTGACTATTAGGCACTACTTTGATCAATACTAGGAAAAATAATTTCCCTTAAAAAAAAAAAAAAGGTGTCTTCAGTTTTCTGGTATTTGTAGGAATATTGTGTCATCAATCTAATCTGGGAAATTACAGTATTTCACAATGGGGGGGTAACATTTCCATCAGTCATTGCTTTTCCAGCTCTCAGTGAAAAGGCAGATCACTGTGTTTCCTGTCAACTGTACAGACACACTGAAGAAACATGCTGTGACTGTTCCCGTAAATCACAGACAGATATAGGTATAGATACAGATAAATATTTAATTCCAGATCCTTGTTTGTTTGAATTGGCTGTGGTTGTTGGAGTTAATTTATAAGCATGGTTGTATTTTTGAACTTCACATAAATTATTTGCTCTCCACTCTACAAAACCAGTGTTTCTTTTGTATTGTGAATTTTATTCACTTAGGGTTGTTTATTTGTCTTTCACACTGGCAACAGATTAACCACAGTCAGTTCTAGCACTTAGTTACTGTGGTACAGCATAAAATGTATCATGAGCTCACCTCATATTTATTAAGGGAAGAGACTTAAATAGAATCTGTCTGATATCTGTTAGTCTCTGAAGAAATATTTTTTTTGAAACTTGTGCTGCAATTAATCTCCTGGAAACCTGAAAAAAAATTCAGATTACTTACAGGGCTGTTTTCTGGTTCTTAGCTTCTCAACAAAATGAAGGAAAATACACGCCTGTTTATAAATACCACCTTACAGCAATTTTTAAATGGCACTGTAACACCATTTATTTTTGCACTAAAGTCCCATTTGTTGTATTAGGATAAAACCCTGTAAACACATACACTAAATATGAGCAAATTCTGAACTACAGAACACTGACTTAAGCTTTAAAACACTGTTTGCTGTTGGCTAATGAATGCTTGCTTCTCCTAAAATTTTGAAAGTACAAACCAAGGAAGGCTAGGTTACAGAAATGCCTGATCAACAGTATAAAAAGACATGTTACAATATTTCTAATCTAGGGAATCCCCTTAGTAGGAAATCACAGTATAATTTAGGAAAGCAATTAAATACCTCTAATGTGCTTAGTCACCAAAAAAAAAAAAAGGTAAAAGAGTTTTACTTTAAGAGTTACTTTAAAAAGTTAAGAACTTTCAAATAATTCAGCGACACAGTTTCTGGGCTGAGGTGTGTTACTGGGCACACATTGAAGACTTGTGAATTTCAGACAAGCTAACTATCCACACTAGGAAATTTGGCCATCCATTTAAAAATAATTAACTCAAAATAGAAGTGCCCAAGTCTACAAACACTGTTAAAAATTCTTGGGTCCTAGATGTGAAATCTGCTTACCTCAACTGCCAAGAGGTAATTGCACACTCCAAACTGTGTACTTACCTAGTTGTGGAAGGTTTGTTTTTCTCACACCCTACATTTTGTGTGGGTGCAATAGAACAAACACTGTGGTTGAAAAGATCTTTTTATGCAAGTGACTTCAGAAAAAGGTTTAAAAGTACAAGTTTAAATCCTTATGTCTCTGCTACCTATTTCAGCATAACTTTTTAAGCTACAGACAATGGAGTGTTTGGGCCCCTTATAAGAGCTACCAGTGTGTTTCTTGTCTTTAAGAATAGTTTTCTATGCTTAAATGTGTCTTCTGTTGTATTGCAGGCAGCCAAATGTGCATATATCATCATCATCATGGCTGTGTACTGGTGCACTGAAGTGATCCCACTGGCTGTTACCTCCCTCATGCCTGTGGTATTTTTCCCTCTGCTTGGAGTTCAGAGTTCTAAATCAGTAAGGAACTTGCTCAATCCAGATCTGATACAGAGATATCCATTGCTCTGATCCCCCATCAATATTTAGCAAACAAGTCTGATAGGAAAGCACTTCAGTTCTGTGGTGCTGTTTTTGAACATGTTGAGCAGTGTTCAGGGGTCCTGTATGGGAAGATGCTGAACTAAATACACAGTTGCCCAAAATGTTAAGGGTGTGGGGCTTGAGGTGGTAGAGAGGAAGGTCTGTTTCTGGGAGTGGATCCTGCTGGAGAGCATCCCACTGGTCCCAGCAGCTTCTGTGTTCATAAGCCATCCTATGAGAGAGCAGTGCTGATATATCCTCTGGGACATGGGACAAACTTCTTCTGACAGCATGATGCGAGCAAGTACACTGTGTCCCCTCCAAAGTTCATTCTGGTGGTTTGTGCTAGTGCTTTAGTCCAAGAGAGAGAGGCTGTATTTAGGTACTGTAGCCCAGGTTCACTGCTGGCCAGCACGGCGGTAAGGGCAGGTGTGGTTCCTAAAGGTGCTGAGAAATCCGTTTTGGAGCTCAGCATTTCTAGTTCCTATGCAATACTTTGAGTCCCTAACAATGTTTTAGGAAACTGTTGTAATTTTGTACTTTATTAACTTCTGATGATCCAAAAAGAAGGTTCATGATGCACAAAGAGCCCCTGCGCTAGACAGTTCAGCACTTAAACAGGGGGTCAAGGGTTCAGGAAACTGGAGGCAGCTGTGAGGCTGCAACCGTCCCTTCTGCCAATGTTGGGATGGGGCCTGGTGCAGTAAATGGCTTCAAGATGATGGAAGGCAAAATGTGCTAGTGAAGCTAGCAAGAGGCAACATTTAGGCCACTGACCTACCTTCTCTGTCTTTCAGGTGTGCTTGCAGTACCTAAATGACACAAACATGCTCTTCGTTGGAGGGCTGATTGTTGCAATTTCTGTTGAACAGTGGAATCTTCACAAAAGGATTGCATTGCGGGTCCTGCTGATTCTTGGGGTGAAACCTGCACTGTAAGAATATTACATTGCTTCTTCCTTGCCTCTGTCAATTTAGCAGAGGCCTAGGGATGGTGTTTAACAGTCAGCAGAGAAGGGAACCTTCAAGAACCCCTTTAGCTGCACTTGTACAGAGTTTCCAGAGGTGAAGTCTGGCAACAGGAACAGTATATTTGTCCTCTAGTGAAAACCAGCATCTGGCTAAATTCTAGGTGCTTGCCACTGGGGACAAAATGATGACAGACTAAGAAGGTAAAGGGCTTTCTGGGATTCCTTCAGTGTATTATTGGGTGCTACACACATCTTTACTCTCTAAATTACAGTGACTACAAAGCCTAGCAGCATCTGTTTTCTTTCCTCCTTTCTCCTCTGCCTGTTTCTCTCTTTTCAGCCTCATGCTGGGATTTATGGTAGTCACTGCCTTCCTGTCCATGTGGATAAGTAACACAGCCACCACTGCTATGATGGTTCCCATTGTCCAGGCTGTCCTGGATCAAATGGACAACACAGAGTATGATGTGACCATGATGGAACAAGCAACCGGGCAAACAAATACAGTGATTGAGCTGGAGGAAAAGAATGCATCAGATCCTACTTCAGTGCATGGTAAGGACCCACTCAGCAGTGAGTTGATTCTACTGAACTTGCTATGCTCAGAGCTCCCTGACCCAGAAGGAGTTCTTTGTACCCTTTTCAAGGAAAGAGGATGGTAACCTGACTGAAAATCCTTAAATGCATGACATCTAAGTTTTACAAAACATCTTCCAATTTTGGTAGCTGCCATTTTGTTATGCTTAGTGTTAGATCCCATGCAGATTGTTATGTTCCTTCTTTCAAGCTGGGGTCACTCTCCCATAGTTTCCCTAGACTTAACTGCCTGCTCAGGGAAGCGAAAAGCGTATCCTGTGGGAAGTACCATCCAACCCCCTCAGCATCCTACTTTCTATATCATGTGATTATCAGCGAGGATTTAGCTTCTAAGCCACGTAGGAATGTTTGAAAAATTTTGTGCAAATGCAAACTATTTTGGTTTTGGGGTAATAAATATCTCTTTATTGACAAGATTGTCTGTGGAGGTGGGGAGAGGAAAGAGGAATACTTTAAAAGCTACATGGAAAAGAGGAGCTGGTGTCATTTGACTCACAGTAGATAAACTACTCTTTGGAACACTTTATAATGTGATCTTACCTTGATGCTTGACTCCACAAGGTCCTTCTGTCAATGCTGTGGTTCTGCAGTAGGTTTCACTTGATTTGAACTACGTGCACAAACTCAGTCCCTCTGATTTCACTGCTCTGCTGGGCTGTTACAGAGGGCTATGTTATTAAATACTATTAAAGATCAGATCTGTGGTGCCCTTCTCTTTCAGAGGAGGAAGGGTTGTCTTGGGGATTTTCATGGAGATATAATTTCATGAATTAGCAGTTGATCTGCCATGATTTTCTGTGTGACTGTGTGCAAGAATGAGTGCAAATGTTGATAGTGCATACTGCATCCCACGTTTCAAGCCTTCTGCCTGGCACACACCATGCCCATTTTCTGGCTTACAAGTCCATGGAGCCAGTGTAGAAGAAGGGTGTTTGTGTGTGCCAGACATTGCTGTGCTATGAGATTGACTGATAACTGCCGTATTTGTTTGGACCTTGGAGGCATAGTTTAGATACAACCATGATCCCTGCTTTTTGGTTGCTTTATTTCTTACCTCATTTGTGAAGGGAGAATGCACTATGATTGTGCAAAGCGCAAACACCATGTTTATGAAAGATGTACAAGCCCACAAGAATGCCACTTGGTCACAGAGTGCTCTAAAAAGTTGCTCATTTCTAGCTTCCAAACAGTTGTATTAAAGATAAGTTTTTGTATTTGCAAATGCTCTTTTTAATGTTGACTCTTGACTCCCCAAACCAGACTTCTGCTCTAAGACCAGTAATAATATTTTTGCTGATTTTCTATCCGCTTAGAGGGATTTACTTGGCTTTGCTGACTGAAAGATTTACTTGGCTTTGCTGACTAATTTATTTTAACATGAAGTGAAGGTAATAAATGTGTGCAAAACCTATCCTTTGGTATTGTTGAGTTGGTTGTAATTGCCATAAATTCATTGTCCTGCTCAGTCCAGTCAGACTTCAAGATTAGACTGTTAACCTCAGAGAACAATGGACACAGCAGCAAAATTTCATGGTTGATGTAAACTGACATAACACATTGATCTTAACTGTTATGCCAGACAAGAATTTGGTTTTGAGTGGGTTTTTTTTTTGCCCATATTCACAGCTGTTAAAGCTAGTTGGTTTCTTACTGTGGTATTGGAGTGGATCCAGTGACTACAATATCTGGCTGGTGGTAAGCCTCTCTCTTATTACTGCCGAGAAACTGTGGCACCGATGCGGACAACAGCATCCTTGGATCATGTAGACCCAGACTGTCAACCTCTCTCTTCAGCTCCTCATGAACATGAGTCCAAAATATTTAGGGACTTATCTGTGTTTTTTTGAATTAAAATAAGTGACGCACACAAACTGGAAGCACTGAGCCTGCAGACCCTGTCCTGAGCTCTCTGCCTCCCTACCTTTATCTGAGGCAAGTTGTGTTCTTTGTGTCTAGTCATGAGCAATGGTCAAGTCCCTGATGACCCCAGATCTTCTGAGGAAAAGAAAATGCGGAAGCGTATATGTAAGGGAATGACACTTTGTGTATGCTATGCTGCCAGCATTGGAGGAACTGCAACACTGACCGGAACAGGACCAAACATGGTATTGAAAGGCCAGATGAATCAGTAAGTCCTTGATGTTTCTTTTACTTATACTATCTTACTGTTTCTGTGACCAACTGACTAGTCTTAGATGACAGTTTCAGTTGGAAACTATAAGCAATAACCAGTGATGAACTGAGAGTGAGGAATGTGTATGAAGTGATGGGCCTCATTTTTCTGCTTAAGGCTTTTTTAGGCAGCTATGTGCCAGTATTATAGGTTTCCTGAGAAACTTGGAAATACTTGCTGGTCATCGGCAGATAGCTGGTTGATCGTGAGATACTGGTTATTCTGCCTCCTCTTTTTCAACTGAAATGCAGTGCATCAGCAGAGGAACTGCAGTGAAGAGCATCAGAAGAATGTATGATTAACTCATCTCATACGCACACCAAAGAGAGCTAAAAATAGCTTAGCCTCTCCTATAATGTTATTGCTCCATGCTGTGGCTGTGCAAACTGTACAGATACTCTTGTAAAGAAAAGGAGTTATCCACAAAATACTCTCTTTGCTAAACTGAGTTTGGGAATTGATTTAAATGCAACCTAACCTACAGTGGAAATCTTGCAGACTCCACAACAGTCCCTCAACATTGCTTCCTTCTGTTGGGGGTACTTCAGCCTCAGCTGCTACATTACCCATTGGTTTTAACACCTAGCTGGGAATTTGCTATTGATATTTTTCCTCCAGTCATCATTGGTGGACATAGGGCAGAATAAAAATTGCTGTTCTTAAAACACTGGCTTCATTCTTTTAAGCCAACTAGCAACTTTGTCTTCTGTTGAAGTAAGCAGAAGTGCAGCTATTAATTTCAGGAAAGACAATTATTGCTCTCTTACTAGAATGAATGGGGAGGAAGAAAGAACGTCCTGTCTTGGGATAAATGAGCAGGCATGTTGGAAGTGAAAGGTACCTAGAATGTGTGGGAGATCTTTCAGCAGCACTTGTGTTACTGAGACCTAAAATATCAACATAAGTTCCTATATGCATTGAAGTAAAATATAGAGAAAACTGAGAACCATTTAAGTTCTGCTCTGAAAACCAGGCTGCCTTCCTATTGACTTCAGTTAGGCTATGGATGTTGCCTATGCTTACTTGTAATGATTGTCCTAGATTTACGCGTATAATTGTCGCTAGCACATGTTAAAGGGAGAGTAGATTACTAAGTGTTTTGATATTTGTACAGAAAGCATTTTTCTTTTCAGGTTATACCCCAACAATAACGATATCGTGAATTTTGCTTCCTGGTTTGGGTTTGCATTCCCAAACATGATTCTGATGTTGGTACTAGCTTGGCTTTGGTTACAGTGCTCCTTCATGGGACTCAAGTGAGTAGTTAACTACATGATATTGTGTAAACCCCTCAGCTAATGCAAACCAGCTTGCTGAGAAGTCTCGATAAAACAAATGCACTGACAAGTTATTAATTGTGGCAGAGAGCAGTTCCATTTCACAGCAACTTTTGAGGTCGGGAAACCTTTCGTGTTCATGGGAGTTGCACTAAGGCAAAAGCTTTATACGTTCTTAATGTACAGACAGATTTGCCTTTTTACTTTTCAATTTCACATCTGTGAATTTCAACCCTAGGAAAGCTAGCACATCTGCTTTGCTACCCTTGATTCAAAACTGAGTTTTTTGACCCAGGTTGCTCCAAATTGGACGGAGACATCCATTCATAGACCCCATTCTTCTGTGAGAACTGGCATATCCCCATGAAATATTTTGACACTGTTGTCATTTCTTTGTTCCTGGCCTCTGCTGTAGTCTGTGTCTGTCCCCAGGAGTGACAGCTTCAGAGTGGCAAGCATGTTAAATCCCTCTAGTATGTTAATACTTACAGTATTTTCTTCTCCCTTTTTCTTAAAGCTTTAAAAAAAGCTGGGGCTGTGGGACAGAGAGAACTGCTAAAGAAAAAGCTGCATACAACGTGCTGAAGGCAGAAATGAAGAAATTAGGCCCAATCTCTTATGCTGAATTCAATGTCCTCCTAATGTTTGTTTTGCTGGTTCTCTTGTGGTTTTCCAGACACCCAGGCTTTGTAAAAGGCTGGGCCACCAGGCTCTTCCCAGAAGGAGAAAAGTAAGTTTTTAGGGTTTTTTTCATCCTATACCCTCTTGGTTGTGAATCAGATTCCCTTGCTCTTACATTCCATTTTGAGTGCAGGGTCATTCATTCCAACCTTATCTGAGTTCATGTTTGCTGGGCTTGATCCTATCGCTTGTGCGCGAGATCATCAACTGATCTGTTGTGTGACAGTTTGTACTGCAGTGAAGGCTGGAGACTGGGACATGGAGCAAGCTGAACCTCCTAAAGGAGGAGAAAATTCTGTAATACTGGTCTCAGTCACACTGATGTGCACATTAGTATTTTGTTTGTATGAGCTCCAATCAGTTGTGGTGTCATTTGAATGTTTGGTAATATCACCTCTAAACAATAGCTTAGAACTCACTGGGAAATTGATCTGGTGCTTTAAATGGCTTCTTTGCATAACGTCTGTGGCATATTAAGAACATAAAATGCACAATGGGACTATCGATCAGGCCATTTCTTTACACATCTTTCTTTGAGATACAACTCTTGAATCTTGGCTTCACCACAAAGAAGGAACCCTGCTCCCAGGAGCCTTTGTCATCTGCGACTCTGGTTATTAATGTGTATTGTAGCTAGTTTCTTTTATTACTGTGTTTGTGTTGTGGCAGGTCTGAGAGACCTCAGTCATGAACTAATGACCCGTTTTGCTAATGTACAAGCCCCAAACAGGATGACAAACACAGTGACTGCAATGCTGGAAGACAGCCATCTTCTAGGAGAAAGATGTCTGTTTTCTAAGCTGTATTCTCTTCTCTTCTTTAGGTATATCACTGATTCTGCTCCTGCTGTTTTTATTGCCCTGCTACTGTTTATCCTTCCTGCTAATAAACCCAAATTCATAGGCTGGAATCCAAGCATGTCTGACCCTGAACAGACTGAAGAAGGTATTTAAAAGAGGAATTGTAACATTGTGAAACAGCCAGCCAGCTCCAGCTAACATGGCAAAAACATATACTGGATTTGCATGCAGTTCTCCAGGGTAGCTCATCTCCCTCACATCTTGGGCAGGGCTGGAGCACGGTCCCTGCTCAGGTGTATTACCCTTACTCTGTGCAGGCAGTAATATGCATCTGCCTTCCCTAGTATCTTATAGAACAGGAGACAAAATGTCTTCACTCTCCTAAAACATGTTTTGCTTTTCATTTCTCACTTCAGATATAAAAAAGCCATTTTTATCAGCCCCGCTCCTAGACTGGAATGTGGTTCAGAGGAAGATGCCCTGGAGCATTGTGCTGCTGCTGGGAGGAGGTTTTGCTTTGGCTGATGCAAGCGCAGTATGTCCTGACATCTGTTTTTCTCTGACTCAAAGGCGAACTTCCCTGGTTTGTTATCTAGTCCTGTATTACTGGGCATGCACCCAAAGCCAAACCCGGTAGAGATGTTCAGATCTGGAGGCAGATCCAAATTAGCAGATATTGGGAGGAGAGATGAATGTTTCTGCCTTTTTTTCAGGAATTTGTGTGCTCTGACCAAGTGTCTTCAGTTTGTCTTACCTCTTGGAGGCTGCTGAGTAGTTTGGGATCCTCACTGGCTGGACAGACCAGAAAAGCAGCCTTTCTTATTTCTGTTATCATCCCGACCCCAGCCTTGGCTAGAAAAATAGAAGTATAGATAACACTTGTAAGATTTTCAGAACCATTTGAGGTTTGTTTAAAGGATATATGTCTTCAGATTTAATCCAAACCACTACTAAAGTGGTCAGCAAGAAAATCATTGTGGGTAGATATCTTCCAAAATTGTATACAATGGGGTTTCTTGACCTTCTTGTCAGTGGCTGTTGCCAAGCAATATGCTGCATTCCGTAAGCCCATGGTTTGATCCTATGTTAATAAATTCACAGAAAAGGCAGCTGAATTCCCAAACAGGAAAGAATCTTGAGATGAACCATATTGTTTCCTTCATCATCGCTGAGATGCATGTACATCAGAGCAAGCCTTAGCTATCAACAGTGCCATGCTTTGGGAAAATTCACATTCATATCTAAGTTTTGTGGGTAGGCAGTTTTAAAGCACGGGGCAAATTAAAGCTCTAGGGCCTTACATTCATCTACATACATCATACATACATTACTAAAGCTACAGAGCATTAGAAGCCAAAGTCAAAGGTTTTGTAAGCTGTTTGAGTCAATCACTGCCTATGTTCCTACAATAGAGCATTCATACAGCATCAGTATCTTCAGAAACCTTAGAAAATAATGTCAGGAAACTTCTGAGTGATACATTATTTGCAATTATCTCAGCAATAATTGATTCTGTTTAGCAAAAAACCATAACTTTGTAACCAAACTGTGAGCAAGTATTTGAGTTCCAGAAAAATCAGGAAAGTGGGACTCAGTATTATGTCTAGTTGGCAAGGAATTTCTTTTAGTGTTTGTGACAGATCATTGTATTTCCTGAATGGTGTTTATACAATTCAGGAGTCACTTAGCATTATTTGGTAGGTATGTTATACATAAGATGAGTTCCCTGTTCATGAGCCAGGGGTTCTAAGCCCCGCTGAAAAACACTTTTTTTCTTGTCAGAACTCTGGGCTCTCAGCTTGGCTGGGTCATCAAATGACTCCACTAGGATCTATCCCACCGTGGGCCATTGCAACAGTACTTTCGCTTATTATAGCTGTCTTCACCGAATGCACCAGTAACGTTGCCACAGCTACCCTCTTCCTACCTGTCTTTTCATCCATGGTAAGATTACTTCCATCCTTTTACCCTATCAACTGGGAGATCAGAGTTAAACTGACAGTCTCTCTCTAGGGACAAAGCAGTACTGTATTTATTGTCTTGAAGGTGTGTCCCTTGGCCTTGGAGAAAGTGAAGTGAGAGTCACCTTTTAACACAGATCAACAAACATCAGTTACTTCTGGTCATTTTGTATTTGAACCATCAACTCAGAACTGGAGAAACACACAAAAAACCCAAACCAAAACAAAATCCAGCACTTTCTATTCATCTCTTCCTTCATCTTCATGGTTTTATGCTAGAATTCAGAAAGTGGTAGACCCAATTATTAGAAATGTATCATTTTCCATAGGGAGCCAGAACAATTTTAAAACTTAGGGAGGAAAACCTGTTAAGTTTTGCAGCCCTTTCTGAGCAGAATTGAAATTGTAGCATAAAGGAAAAAATAGATTACTTTGTTCTTTAATTTGGAAAGCACAACTGCTTTGTTCTAGACCATTTCTTCAAAGTAAAATTATCCCAATCAAGGTGCTGAGCTATTAGTTACTTAAATTGGCACTTCAGTTCTGAGTCCCACAGAGTTTATGTAACGTCTAACAGTGTTACTCCATATGCCTAGTAATTATAATCCCATCCCTGTGTTACCCTGGCAAAAGTGTAGTTGAAGGTCAAAGAAAAGCTCGTTGGATAAATTTGACCAGAACTCCAAATTATACCATAGAGCAAAAAAAAGCAACAAGAAAGAATCAAGCTTTGTTTTTAAGTATTGTGGGACAAGAAGTGAGAGCAAAGTTATCTTTAAGTATGTGTGGATTTCAGAACAAAATGCTTGGAAATTACTCTGGTGTTATAATACCAGGAAACTAAATGAGCCTGTGTGTCTCATTGGTCTTGGAAATGTGCTTTATGCTTTTCTTTTGGAACACCTCCAGTGTGATATTCTCTCCATTTCATTGCAGGCTGCATCTGTCAAGATCCATCCCTTGTATGTCATGCTGCCTGGTACTCTCAGTGCTTCCTTTGCCTTCATGTTGCCTGTTGCAACACCGCCAAATGCGATAGTGTTTTCCTATGGCCACATCCGTGTTTTAGATATGGTAAGATGATACTTGCCTGGTCTTTGATCTGAAGATCTCCATTGCCTTTATCCTGAAATATGGTGAGAGTTTAGTTTTCTTAGCCGAGTATTTCCAAAATACCAGGAAGATCTTACGGGTTGTGACTACCACTCTGTGCCCCTCTCTTAGGTGGTGTTAATATTGCAATAAAGATTTGCATCCCCGAAGTAACAGTACCTTTCTCACAGGCTTTGGCAAGCATATAGCCCAGCCCAATTGAAATTAAAAACTGACAAGTCATATGTCTCTTAAACGCTGAAGGGTTAAAATGCAGTCAGTGCTTTCCAGTATTCTGGGGCTTTGGCGAGTGTAGCTGAAGCCTGGTTTCCACTGGAGCTGAAAGCAGAAGGTAACAATCAATTGCCCTAGGCTCTGGTCCTCTGATTGCCTGCCAGCCCACACAGTGCCAGGTTCTGTGCCGAACACCCAAACATTATTGGTTTTCTAAGTGAAGACTTGAAGGGGATGGAAGCTGTTCTTTAACTAATAAGAGCAACTAGTTATATAGCAAAGTGTTCAAAGGCTTTGCACAGTGTGTTCCCTGGTATTTCCACGTAAGCAACATAGGGCAGTGAGCACAATGGCTATTTCTGTGATTTATTTGACCGTATCTTTCTCGTGTATGTACAAATAGGCCTTGCTGCAATTTGCTGTGCTGGTGTTTGGTCATTGTTGCTGGTTTGGACTTTTGCCCTCACAGGTTAGATCTGGAATAGTGATGAACATCATTGGAGTCTTCTGTGTCACACTGGCCATCAACACATGGGGAAGACCTATGTTTGAACTGGACACATTCCCAGCCTGGGCAAACAGCACAACTAACCAGTGAGCAGTGAAGAATTCATGTGTTAAACAAGGAGAGGACCCTTAACACTACTCACAATTGCCCGAAGCCCTATATAGAGTCTCATCACCACATCAGATCCAGTGTCAGGTGATTGCTACCTCTGGGAGTCACACATCAGTTCAGGCATGAACCAACCCAAATTTATTCCAGTCATGCTGGAGCCAAAAGTGCTGTTTAATTACACAACCCTAAGGATCATGTGTCTGGATCTGAAGTACGATCAAGTGATCTGTTGTACCTCCAATCAAGGTCAAGATTTAGAATTTTTCGAACTTGAAATAAAGAGAGGGCAGGCTGTTACATCAAGTGGTTTGAACTATCATATTACTGGTATGTACTTGTAAATCATTAGCATTGAACACTGCACTCAGGCAGGGGCTGAAAATTCATTAACTATTACTTATATCCACAAGTTAGGAGCTGTACAGAGAAATCGCTGTTGTCACTTGTCTAGTGAAAGAAGGAGTACGTTATGTTATGTTATGTTATGTTTTAGTAAGGCCTCAACCACATGGTGGAATCCTTCCAAGTCGACATCCAACACGTTTTCTGTTGCCTTGTTTTCACTCCCTAATCTCACTGCATTTATACACCCTTCTTGAGGGTTGAGATAACATAATTCCATGCTGTTCATGATTCAGCTGATGTCTTGGGCGATGATGAGTTAAGGCTGGCTTTGTGTTTCTTGCACTGTGACACTGGCAGCGCCAGGAGCCTTTCCCTTTCTCGGCCATGGAATGTGATTTCACATGCCAATCAGTGTTTTGTTAGTGCCAGCCTGGAAATGACCAGTGGCCTCTAGGACTTCACACCTATTGTGAAAGTTCCTGAATTAGCCCCTGATGTGCCTTATTAATTAACTCTGGAATTTTGGAGTGGAAACAAGGCATGAGAAAGACTCTAATTGAAGGCTTTATAAAAATTTAGGGGCCCAGATATTAGGGCTTGTTCTGGCTGACAACAATGTGAGTTGCCTTGTGTACTTTGGAATTCAGGTCCTGTGAGAAGTGTTCTGTATCACCTGTTTATGTCATTTCTGAAGCAGAGGTAGTCTACAGAAAAATTGATGTTTCATTAGGTGTATTTTGTCAGTGGTACGTGGATGCTTTTCATTCAGCCCTGGAGATGAAGTTAGGTGGGAGGTAAGGCAGTATGTTACAGTGGAGAGATCTGTGGGCCTGAGCTGAGTTCTGCTCCCAGACTTGCTGTGCAGCCTCACACAAGTCAGTTCACCTCTTTTTGCCTCAGTTTCCCCTCCTGAAGAACATGTCATGGTATCTATCTACCTCACAAGGGTGTTGTGAGGACATAAGGGTCAAATTCTGCACCCATGGTGATTCCCCACCTCATGATAAGGGGTGCAAGGTAGAAGTTATAGCATCATAGCATCTGGCCAGAAGATCTGGCCTCTAGCATAGCAGTGTATATAGGATATATAATAGTTTTGTTATTAATGTGAATGTTCTTTGCAGAACTGGAAAAATATTCACATTTTTGTCTTTAAAAGTGAGGAAAGTATTTATCCACAAAACGACCACGTGCTTTTCTGAGCAGAAAACTACTTCAAGAATTACTTGATTTTCCTGCCTTTTTCTTCTGTGCTTTTTCAAGGTGCTGGGCACCATAACCTCTCCACTGACTGTTGTTCCCGGGTGCTGCTAATGGCAGCCTGTCTGCCCAGCTGGCTGCATGTAGTGCAGCCTCATACCTCTTCCATGGAATGGTGGAGCATGTGGATAAACATTGTTCCACTTGCAGGGTTTATCTAAGAGGCCAGTTCTAGTGCCAAGAAGTGGCTTGGTCACAGACATTTGTCACCACCTGAAGTTTATCACAGTATTTGTTTGAAGAAATTGAAACCAGGAACAGTTAAGCACCTGTGCTTTGTCAGTCACCACTTAATGCTGATTTGCATCTGTAGGTATCTAAATGCATTTGAGAAAGGGACTTCTGCCTTCTAATGGACTTCACAGTATGAGGACATTTCACTGCTGCCAGGTACTTCATAGTGCTTGCTCTTCACTATTGCAAGTATCATACAGTGGAGTTTGCATGGGTAGGTAGCACTGAGCTTGCCTGTCTCAATTCATGCAGATCAAAACTCCTCTAAAAACGGTTTCAGCCAAAAGCCATAGGACAGACACTTCCCTGTCTCTTTTGCAGAAAGGAGTGTTCTGAAAGTTTCTTGAAGAGGAGAAAGTGCCCTCATCTCAACTAGGGAAGAACTTCACTCTGTTGCTGTGCAAGTAGAAAACAAATGTTATTTTCATCAATGGTCACACAGGGTGATTTATTTACAGGAGTGCTGAGGCAGGGGGAACGTACATATGGGGTAATAAAGAATACTGGTTTTATTGTGACTGTGGTGTATTTGATGTGTCACCTCTTTGTCCTGTTAATAGCAAATGTTTCTTTCTGAGACAATTTTATGACATCCTGTGATTCATTTGTATTTAATTTAAATGGGTGAACTGCAGAATTAGAGCCTGGCAAATACGAAATTACTAGAACTGTCTTCTCTCTGGCATGGATTGCTTCCTGTGTAACACAATGGACCACTTGTTTCTACATCAGCTTCCACTGTAGCATGGTATTGCTGCGGTAAGGTCCAGGAGGGTACAGACCATAAAGAATCCTTGCAAAGCAGAGATTTGGATAACACTTTAAGCACCTCCAGGCCTATATATCAATGGTTCCTCCTCTTTCCTCAGCTAAGTGATAACTCAAGTTTCCATCTTTGCAAATGGTCAGGTGGGACCAAATCAGGTGGCATACCTGACAAGCTGTCTCATTCATTTCAGAGTAAAAGATTATGAACCCAAGAAACACAACTAGTTTTTAAGAATTAATCTTGTACAAACTCTCTGGTATAACAGGCACAAAGAGGCTTTTCTTCAGCATCGAGCATGCATGTCGTCCTGTTCCAATGCCCTAAGTAAATATATGTGTTCTTTACAATGGGTAAAGCAAGGACAAGTGCTATGTTACTGGAGCTAGGTTACATCTCCTCCCAGCATTGCAGGATAAGTATCATGATAGATACTCGTCTCGCATGGCATTTATTTTTCTTCTCATCAAAAGATTTTTGGTTTAGGTGCAAAAGTTGTGATGGTCCTAAGGTAGTGTGTCACTGTGTAAGGCTGACCCAGCACTTAAAGCTGACAGCAGATGCTCTCTATTAACCCCTTCCTTCCCCAGAGGGGAAGGCGAGAAGAAAAGGGAGATTTATGAGCTGGAAATTAAAACTACTTTTAATAAAACAATATCCATGAAAAAGAGTATAATAGTATTAATACTACTAATAATAGAAATAAAAGGAAAAATATACAAAACCAATATTGAGCTTCCCAATGACAATCAGGGAATTGCAGACCCCGGCGGCTCGCAGTGCTCACGCAGCAGGGCAGGCACATGGATGTCCCAAACTGGACTCCAGAGCTGACGGGAACCAGATTCAGGAATGCACAGATTGAGATTGGAGGCAGGAGAACAAGCAGGGTCCCACAGGGATGCCGGTCATGGAAGAAGAGAGACTGACCCCTGTGATCCTGGAGCTTTATACCGAGTATGACGTGGATGGGATGGAATACCTCGTTGGTCAGCTTTTGGTCACCTCTCCCATCCTCACTTTTCTGCAGGTGCGACGCTTTTACGAGTTTTCACTTGTTTAACAAGAGAGAGCCATCAGTGATCTTGGTTCCCAGAGTAATAAGCATAAATGTGGGCCTTTCTGCATGCCAATCCCACCATTACTTCGGTAACAACTATAACCATCACACGTTATCAAGCCTGAAAGCAGACACTGTCTGAAAAAAATAACTGCACTTTCTGAAAGTGCTGTTACTATAAAGAAACCTAACTGAAAGAAAAAGTGCTGAAAGGAGAAATAGTCCTGTTTTAGCCAAACCAGGACATAGTGGCATAAAGGAATCCCTTTGTCCCCCACTTCTAAACATGCACCGCTAGAGCCAACAGAGAACGTGGGAGGGTCTTCAGTGTGGACCTTTTCAGGGCAGGTTACTCAGCTACACCGAGCCAGCGAACAGTTCCCGTTTTATTGTGTGTGGGCAGAGTGTGATTCCTAGTGGCTAATGGGTATGTCAGCCATCTGGCTCGCGTAACAGCAGGCAGTGCTGCCTATAAGGAGCTAAATTAATATTTTCCTATTTTCTGTTCACTCTCTGTAGTATGTCCTTGACTTTTCCTTTCTTCTGTCAGAGTATCAATTGCTACTACTGTTTCTGCAAATGCTGAATGTCTCAAATCTGCAGAATCATGATATGGGCTGCTGTTATACAGGGTTTGTTCCTGCTAGTTCATGTATCTGTGTGCAGACTTACTCCCACAAAGTACTGGCTGTTTGGGAATGGTTACATTTATGTGAATGAGTTCATAAATCACCAAACTACAGGAAAACATACAAAGGAAGGACAAAGGTATTTCCTGCCTGTGTGTTAAACATGTAGATCTGTGGAACAGAGAAGAAAAACCTTTCAGCATTCTCTGTATGATCTAGAAGTCATCAAGCTAAAAAGAAGCACTGAAACAGAAATAGACTCAAGCTTAATGTGGATGCAGAAGTCACCCCCTTTTCTCCTGAGTACGAGTATGTTCTTCTTTGGCCTACTGTAGAGATCTGTCTGAGCCCTAAGTATGAAGCAGGCCTATGTCACGGAGCTCTCCTCTTTAGTTGGTGTCATCCTCCGAATTTGAAGCAGCGAGTGGTTCATTCTGGCTGAGTTCTGATCTCACTTAAACTCGGTCTTTGCTCCATTCAGACTTTGTTTTCCAGCTCAGATGTGTTACCACACGATAGAGCAATAACCTGGTTGTAGCCAAGAAAAACAGTTGCTGACAATGTGTTGGAATTGCACAGTTAGTGAAAATCAGCCCAGAAAAAAAGTAGATCATTAAATCAGTGCTAGCCAAAATCCAGGTGTGATTCCTTAACACAAAAGCACATTTTTACATACTTCACATCTTTTTTTTCCTAAATGTCTGTACAAAATATGGAAAGAAGTGGGTAGTAATGAATCCTGAACACTTGGATCAAGTGACAGATAGTTTTCACAATGTTTTCCCAGTGTGGGTGAATAAACACATGACTTTAGCACAATGCTTCGTCTAGTTGTGTCACTGTGAGGTCTCCAACATTTGTGCATTGCAGCACAATCCCAGTAGCCCATTACTGGACACTTGCTAGGCTTGGCATTTGTCTGCATGATTTAATGGCAGGATGCTCGTTTTCCTCTGTCTGGAAGAACCATCTCAGTGTCAGCTTTTCTGCAGCAGATCAGA